ATTCCCATTCCCTGGGCTCTGTGTGCCATCCATGGGGTGGATCCCTGCTGCATTCCCATTCCCTGGGCTCTGTGTGCCATCCATGGGGTGGATCCCTGCTGCATTCCCATTCCCTGGGCTCTGTGTGCCATCCATGGGGTGGATCCCTGCTGCATTCCCATTCCCTGGGCTCTGTGTACCAGCCCTGTGGGATGAGCTCAGGGAGGCTGTTGTAACATGTCCTTGTCTCCATGGCCATACACAGCCTGCAGGGCTGGCAGGGAGGGAAATCTGTCTGCCTTAATCTTCCTTTATTGGGAGCATTCTAGCATTTCAACAGCTTTCCTTGGGCTGTGTCAGTTCTCACATCCACATCCTTGGCTTCCCCAAGTCCCAAAGCTTCCCCTGGAGCTGGGAACTGAAGAGCTGTGGGTTGAGGCTTTTTTTTTTTTATACAGTGGCACAAAACCAACCTCAAACCAAAACCTTGCCCAAGCCAACAGCCCCTGGGCATCACTGGGGTGTGTTGGGTGGTTGCTCATTGGAAAGACAAGCCAAGGTTTTATGAGGGCCCTTCACTGAGTGAGGTGCCTGGTTCATGGAGTCATGGAATGCTTTGGGTTTGGAAAGCCCTCAGGGACCTTCAAGTGCACCCATTCCCCCAGCACTGCCACAGCCACCACTGACCCATGTCCCCAGGTGCCACATCCACAGGACTGTTAAATCCCTCCAGGGATGGGGACTCCACCCCTGCCCTCAAAGTTCTCTCTTCAGTTCAGTTCCCTCTGATTTTTGGGAAGCTGGGAGAAGGGAGCATGAAACCTCCAGCTGGTACTTGCTGCTGGTGAACTGCTCACCCCCGTGCCAGGGAATGACATCCCTCAGTCCCAACACCATTCCCGCTGTTCCCACACGTGCAGGCAGCTGCAGGGACTGTTCCTGTCCCAGCCCATCCAGGATGTTCATGTCCTGGAGGAGACAGCAGGTCATCTTCATCCTGTGACCCTGCTCTGTTGATGTTCCAGGCTGAGAAGATCAAGAAGAAGCGGAACACGCTGTTTGGGACGTTCCACGTCGCTCACAGCTCCTCCCTGGACGACGTGGATCACAAGATCTTAACTGCAAAGTGAGTGTGTGGTGACCCCTCCTGTGCCATGGGCTGGGCTGTCCTGGCACCTGGGCAGGGCTTTGGGCTCACTTGGCTGAACTTCTCCTGACTTTGGTGGCCTGGGATTGGACTTGCTCCTTGTTATCCATAACCTTTTACCTGTGAGAAACAAGGGATCACAGTTATGTGGAGCAATTAAGAGTCCTATTAAAATGAGGGTTTGGGAGGCTGCAGGATGTTTGATCATGGAATCATGGAATGGGTTGGGTTGGGGGGGATTTTAAGGATCATCTTGTTCCACCCCCTGCCATGGGCAGGGACACCT